AAAAAAAAAAAAAAAAGGTACTTTTCTACTGTACTTTCCACATATCTAATTGAAATTAATTCATTCTAAAAGATACTTAGGAAACTGAGATTAGAAAAATAATTAAAAAACAGTTAAAATGTGCACCTAAATTATTTGAGACTATCTTAAAGTACTGTACACTATTAAATCAACTTTAATTATAGATTTCCCAGAAGATATTTAAACAAATATTTCACTTACTCTTTGGGCTGCTTCAGCTGCTGCAGCTGCCATTGCTGCAGCTTTAGCTTTCTCTGCTTCATCGTAAGTAGGAAGAGAGGTAGCTACACTATATGGAGGTGGTACAGGGTAAAATTCATTTTGTGTTTCTGCTAAAGAGAAAGAAATAAAAGTAGAAGCAGTGAGTGTCATGGTTTGGTTATCCTGGAAAGATATCAACAAGGGCCAAGTACTACAGCAATCTTAAAAGGATCATTCACAAACAGGACTGGTGACATTTAAATTGTGGAGTCATTAATTTCAGTCTTTGTGCTATAAAAACGTGAACTACCAGTGTCTGCAGACTTCATGAAAAGGTTTGAGATGTTACTCTTTTTTATTACAAACAAGAACAAGTCACAATTTCAAGTTACTATCAGCTTCAGCTCAAGGCAATACAGCTTGACCTGGATACTGAAAAATGGTAAAGACTTTTAGAACAAAGATTTACATTCAGTCAACACATCACAGCAAATGTTCCACTTGCATATACATTTTTTTGCTGAAAGAGGATCAGGAATACAAAACAGCACCCAAAGAAAAGTTTCAAGTTCTAGATATTAAAAACTAAATAGAGGGCTATGTAGATCATAACGTTTCATCAACTGTGGAATCCTGTTACAAGGTTCAGTAGAACTATGCAAAACAGATTCTTTCAACATTTCTTTCAATATGGCCAATTTTCTTTTTAGAACTGACAGACTTATGTGATAGAATACACAAGTTTTAGTCTGTGCAGTCCAACACTTGACTTTCCTCTCCACCTTCAGTTAGCCTGGAACAGAGTTCTGGGGTGATAGAAGTTCCCAGTAAAGAAGCCTATTTTACAAATGTTCTGTACAGGAAGACATCAATGCATAACAGTCTTCTATTTGGATCAGGGCCACAACAGACATGAATAGGAGACTGTCTTCATTCATATATAATTAAATACTAACCAGAGCAGAGAGAGAGAGACTGGCTCTAGAGCCCCCTGGTAATGGAACACCCTAGTTTTTAAGTTCCTGGTCTAAATCAGGCAAGGTGGGAGCCTGAACTTGAGTCTCCCCCAAGTCAGACAAGTATCACAACCTATGCTGGGGCAAGTTTCACTCTCCCTCTTCTCTGGTTTTTGCCAATAATTCTACTGCAGTGCTGGGAAACTTCTCAAAAGTTTTTCTGTAGGTGGCATGTACCTGTACAGCATATATACACTTCCCTAAAGGCACCTAAAAATTATGTAAGCTGTTTGTAGCAGAGGAAAAATACCTGAGGTTGCAGCTGCTTCTACAGCTATACTAGAATAAGGTGGAGGAGAAGTATCTGCTTCAGATGAAGCTGCTGTTTGAGAAGTCTGTGCAGTCTCTGTAGAAGTAGATGGTTGCTCAACAGTCGAGGACTCCGAAGGATCATCTTCATTGTGAAGCTTAAAAATAAAACACACACATACTTTCATGAATTTCAATATGCTTTCAGATAATTCAATGAATAGAAAGCAAATACCTGCATAAACCTTTCAGACATTACAACAAATCAGCAATGAATTGGGCACTTATTTTTTTTAGTTTATTGGAATAATGTATAGTAGGGGCATCCAACTGATTTCATCCTGTGGGGCCAGATGACCCACCTCTAACCATATGCCAGAGCTGCTGCACTGGCAAAGCTCCAGAACTTGGGGGTTGCTGCTAATCAACTCTTCTTTTCCCCTCTTTCTGATTTAAGTCATCAACAGTAACTAAAAAACCCAAATTAGGCAGTGGGCAAGAGGACAAACGGGTGAGAAGTGGTAGAGTTCATTCTGGCATTCTAAAGCCACACCAACAAGTCCTAAAGGCAGTAATGTAACCATTTAGACAGGCCTCATGTATAGCATATGCTAAATAAAAATAAGTCACCAAACTAATAAACCTAACAAGTAAGACTGAATAAAACACAAGGAACCCCAAGTATAGCCTTTAACAGCAACCTTTAAGCAATCACTTTAAAAGCGTGATGATCAACCTTCTGGCCCTGTGGGTTAGTCCATGGGATGGCTTTCGTGCGTAGGTAAAATCTAGTGTGCTCACCGGAGACCAGGTGGCCTGACCCATGCACCAGCCTGATCCTATGCACTAAATCTGCCCACAGAGTGACCCTGGATGCTGACCCCACTATATGCTGACATGATCTAGCATGCAGGGTTGCATCACCTGGCCCATGAGGTTTCTCACAAGTCCAGAAATTTAGCACAAGGGAAGCTGCAATTAACGCTTCCACTGCTCCCCTACTACCAAATTTTTGGACCCGTAGGGAGACCCATGAAATGGTCTCGTGGCCCAGAGGTTGAGCACGACTGCTTTAGAAGAATCATTAGGTATCCAGTACAACTCAACAGTATTTTTAAGATCTCCTTGACTATGCAACAAGGATTTTTTTTTATCCTTAAAACTGTTTTTATTGCATATTAAAATGCCAAGTACTTAAGAGCTCTTTAAGATCCCAAATCATAAATACAAAATATTGTATGTATATGGAGATGAACATAATTGATCCATTTTTAGCAAAATATTTACCCAATTGTCTTTTGTTATAGCAATTCAAGGTAGTTACACATCCTATTTTATTTGTATACTTATGACCCAGGATTTGCAGCAAAAAATTACTGCAGGGATTTCTTTTAAGTGGTAACAAACCTAGAAGAATGGTATATATCCCAGAGTTTTAGAACAACTTGAAAATGAAGTAATTCAGCTCTTATACCCAAAGACTGGTGAATTAGAGATTTCTTTACAAGTCAGAGAAAAGAGCAGATAAAAGACTGTATATTTTCAGAAACACTGTCGTCAATCGCATAAGATTATATTGAAGGAACTGTGTTCATCACATATAAGGTAATAGTATTGTCATGGGTTTAGGAAGTGGTTAAACAAGAAAAAACCAACAGGAATAAACTACTGGTTTTCATTATGGTAAAAAGGTTAACATGGGGTACTGCAAGGATACATACAGGCAATCCCTGCTTAATGTGGTTTTGCTTAGCACTATTTTGCTATAACACTCGTTTTACATCGATACCCGATTTCTCTTAGTGCTCAGCGAGTTTCATTATAATGCTCATGGTTGCCATCTTGGTTAGTCAAAAACTCTCAGTTTCACTTAACACTATTCCGCTTAACACTGCATTTTTCAGGAACCAATTAAAAGCACTAAGTGTTGGTTGGGCTATAGATTCAGAAAAGTTTGAGTAAAAAAGTAAGGTCAAGAATATGCATATAGTGAAAAATGATTTACATCAGCAGAGACCAGAGCATACTGAAAAGAGCTTCAGAATGCCTTGAGAGAGTTAGACCTATGGGAAACAAATTGGGAGACAAGATTTGAATGCAAGCAGCACAACATAAAGGGAAAGCCTAACGAAGAACAGAAGAAATAGTCTAAACTAATAATACAAATTTCTGGGATCTAAACTAACCATAACCACTCAAAGAAAATTTAGCATCCTATGGAAGCAATTCAAAGAAAGCTACTCTTCAAAGATCAGAAGCAGTCAACAGTTCTGCTTTACCCAATCTCAAAAGGAATATATCAGGAATGGAAGAGATCCAAACCATTGCAAAGATGAGAGGAAACAACCACGTAAAAAAAAAAGAGACTGAAAAGATCAGAGCTATTTAGCATAGCAAAGAGGACAACAGACTTGTCTGAAATACTAAAGAGAACACAGAAATTAAAAATAGATATTTCTATTTATAAAAGCAGGAGGTCCAAGGACATTGAAATACGGTAACAAAGTGCTTCAAAATATAAACAAAGCAAATTTACCTTGCAGAATTCACTGCTACAAAATATCACAAAGTGAAAACAATAAGATCAGATATTTGTAACTGCAATACATATAAAAAGACAGAAGGGTTATAACCCATGTTTCAAGGCATTACTTAAGACTGGTTAAAAGCTGTACAAACTGAGAACAAAAATGAAGCCCAAGTCCTTGACATTTTTAATCAATCCTATTTGTATTATCAATCACTATTACAGAGAAAGTTTCCCTACTGGAAGTTTTTCCCATAACTAAGTCTGAATCGCTTGATACTACTATGTTGGGGGAAAATGGATCACTGATCTGATGTATATAGTAATTCTTACATTAAGCAACTAAATTCTCACAAAGGCAATATTTAATACTAAAAATACTGCTTTAAAACAGCTATTTGTTCCCCACCCCCATTCTATTAAGAGAAAATAGCTTTCCCCACCCCCATCACAAATTGCTACCAAGCAGTTGTGAACAGGCACAAAACACTTTTGGCCAGGTACAGACTTTTACCGGTATAAATGATTGAAAACTAGTCTATACACATAACAGAACAGAAGTTGGGCAGACAAACTGGTTTAAAAATAACAAAACCCAGTCTAACATGTGTCCCCCACTCCCAACCAAACGGCAAACGTGTGTTCTGTTCACTACCAACCTAAACTACATCACTTCCAGAACACCACATAAGCTTAGATCAATTCCACCACAGGCTTTTTGAATGGCTGTACCTAGCCCGTGTCAAGTAGTCAAATAAGACTAATTATAAAACGGAAACTAACTCTCCAAGTTATCAGCTTTTTCCCCTGCAGATTTGAAAAGCAGGTCAGAGAAGTACATCCTTCCCTTTCCATGTTATAATTTCTTAACTAAAATTCTCTTTTAATTAAATTGCAGCAAATTACAGAATGCCTCTCTTAAAAGCTTTAATTCACAGTTGGCCACCTCTAGTACAAAACAGGTTTCTGGGCAGCTATTTTCAGAAATTCTGTGATAAATCTCACACACAGTCCATGGATATCATGGTATCCAGCTGACCCTGAAGGCTTTCAAGTTAGAACAGGGCATGCTTCTTTGTCAGCAGTTTTGAATTCCTCCTGAACTGCCTGCATGTTTATCCCACGCTTGCTTTCCCATCCCCCTGTCATGTACTGTAGGTTAGAGGGATCATCAAGGTCACATTACATGGGCTAAATTTATGCTTTGGACTTTTAAAAGGGGATAGAGCAATGGGTCTCTTCCTAAAATCAAAAGTTCAGAACCATACGGAGATCACTAGGGAGTGCACAATGTAGTACAAACCATCCAACTCTACCATACACAAATTTAAAAGCTCCTTTATTCTTCATAACTAAGCTGAGCTATTGGGACTGAGTTCCTCAAAAAAGTTGTTAAAATTATCCCCCACATTACATACCAAAAAAAAAAAGACTGAGCATCAGTGGCATAATCCATCATTCATTTAGTACTTTCAGAGCTTTTAGGATCAAATGTACAATGCAAAAAAAATGTGACAATTACTTTCTTTGACTTGTCCACTTCATTTTCAATTATCACACCCATACCTGAAAAGAGTACATCTTCTTGTAGAGTTTATTCCTTAGGTGTAACCTTCATTTTCTATTTGTGACATCAGTTATTTCCAAACAACCAGGTGTGATGTCATATGATCGATGACTTCACATAGGGGAATATGGAACACGGGAGGAACCATCTGTTATTGTACCAGAGATCCTTGGTAGGGAGTGGGTCGAATGAAAAAGAGTGATGACTGAAGAAAGCCAACACCTTCTGTAATAGGCTTCACAGAAGTTAATGCCTACTGAGGCTCAGTTATATTTCAAATTCTAGTTCTCAGACTAGAAAACAAGACAAAAGCATTGGCTAAATATTATTGTGTGGACACAGGAAAGACAGGTACCTAGACCCAT